CCATATATATACATTGAATATGTGCCGTGGCAGCCATAGGAGCCGGCGTGGAGTTCGGATGGGCCATACAGCTCTCCCTCCTGACGCCCTACGTCCAGCAGCTCGGCGTCCCTCACAAGTGGGCCCCGCTCTTCTGGTTCGCCGGTCCATTCGCCGGCATGGTGGTTCAACCCATCCTCGGCTTCTTCAGCGACCGCTCCTCCTCCCGCTTCGGCCGCCGCCGTCCCTTCCTCGCCGCCTACGTCTCCGTCGTCTCCCTCGCAGCCTTCCTCATGGCCTTCGCCGCCGATCTCGGCCACCGCCGCCACAACTCACGTGCGGTGACGATCTCGATTTTCGGGATCGGCGATTTGCTCCTCGAGTGCGGAAACATCGCCATCTACACCCACTGCGCAGCTTTTCTCGGCGACCTGACCGCCGGAAACCCCAAGAGGGCTCGAACCGCAAGCTCTCTATTCTCGTTCTTCATGGCGGTGGGCGGCGTATTAGGTTACGCCGCCGGATTATACACCCACCTGTACAAGATCTTCCCCTTCGCGTTAACAGATTCCTGCGACATATACTGCGCGAATCTCAAGAGCTGTCTCATTCTGGCAATCACGATCCTGGTCGCCACTTCGGTATTCACTCTCTGGTACGTCCCGGACAAGGCCACGAACACGACGACGGCGACGACAGATGGGGCGAGGAAATTAGGGATATGGAGGGAGATGAAGGAGGTGAAGAGACCGATGTGGATGCTGTTGATGGTGACGTTCATGAACTGGGCGGCATGGTTTCCGTTCATGCTGTATAACACAGACTGGATGGGGAGAGAGATCTACGGAGGCGACGACAATGGAGGAGGAGATCATTCGAAGAAGGTCTACGACGCGGGAGTGCGCATGGGGGCGTTAGGGTTGATGCTGAACGCCGTGGTTCAAGGTACTGTATAAACATGAAATATATTACAACATATACGTATTTATTTATAGATAAGAGAATAATAATAATAATAACGAGTGGCGTGGGAAGGGATAACGTCGCTGGGGGCGGAATGGATGGGGAGGAAGATGGGGGGAGCGAACAGGCTGTGGGGAGCGGCTAACTTTGGGCTGGGAGTGTGTCTGGGAATGACGGCTCTTGTTACGAGGCAGCCGGCCCTCACCCAACGCACCACCGGCGCCCTCCTCCTCTTTGCCCTTCTCGGCTTTCCCATGGCGGTAATCTCCCCCCTTTTTCTTCTTGTTTTTTTTTTGTAAAACAAAAAAAAAAATTGGGTAATGGTGTTAGTTTTTTTTTTTCAGGTAACCTTCTGCGTTCCTTTTGCAATGGCTGCAATATTGTCCACCGAGCATGGTGTGGGACAAGGTAACACCCTCCCTCTTCGGATCAATATTTCCTGTTCTGGTTCCATTGCTTTCAGTTATAAAAACACTATGCCCATACAGTTCTTAGTATTCAGGCTCCAGATTTTCTTAAAAAAATGAGAATAATATCTTTTTTTTTTTAAACTTGTTTTTTGCAGTTATTTATTTACATTCTATTCGGGTTTAATTTTTTCAATTTACAGTGAATCCATTTTTATACATACATTTGAGCCCCGTGTGAATTCGATTATACATTGGTAGTTTGGCGTTTACAGACCAAACCGAAATAGTGAGAAAAGGGTTTTACGGAATTAACAAACAAAAATAATATAGGATAGTGCGAGATGATTTATTGATATGGAGTTATGGTTGTATAATAAATGGAGAACGATTGGTATTGATTGCAGCATTTACGATGGGACTCGTGAATTTCGCCATCCTCATGCCCCAGGTACCAAAATACCCTTTTTCCCTTCTTTGCAATCGAAAACAGCAGTATATGAAATTCCTTATATACGTATATATATGTGTGTATTGCGGTGGGGGAACAGATGGTGATATCGGTGGGAGCAGGACCGTTCGACGAAGCATTCGGAGGAGGGAACCTGCCGGCGTTTGTAGGGGGAGCCATATTGGCTCTCATAAGTGCCGTAATGGCTTTCTTCCTCCTCCCTTCTTCTTCTTCTTCTTCTTCTTCACCACCACCCTCAGACACAGCCTCTACCGCATGATTACATCACATTACATTACCCTGTTAGTGTTCCACACATTGTTCATTATCTTATCAGAAATTCCATGGGAAAAGGTTCCAAGTTTTTCTACAACTTCAGAGATTTTATTCCGACCCCGCATCTCATCCTGAGATTTTCACCGCTGCTTTTCCGTAGCCGACTTGATGATGTCCACAAACTCCGGCTACATACACAGAGATTATACATAGTACATTAAGCTGTACATTTCATCATATGGTTACGGTTCGATTCAGAAGAATTCAGTTCTTGGTTCCCCTTTGTGTTTAGTTCTTGAGGAATGAACATTATACTACAGTTGGCTGTTTTATGTTTGGGTTCCAGTTTAGTTATATTTGGATTCAGTTATTTTGGTTTTTGAAAAACTATTAACTGTTGGATTTTTATATTGAATTCACTTGAGTTCCATTGTTTTTATATCGAATTCGGTTCACTTAACCAAATTGGTCGATCCTAGAAATCATTATTACCTTAAGAGAAGCTCCGCCGACCAGAAAGCCGTCAACGTCGGGTTGTGCCGCCAATTCATTGCAGTTTGCCCCATTCACAGAACCTGAAGAAGAAGAAGAGTGAATATTGAAACTCGTACCTCCAATCCATGGAGGAAACAGAGTAATGGTTTCCAAACGCTGAGCAGTGAATTTTCATATACCTCCATAGATGATTCTTGTAGTTGCAGCAACTTCAGGACCAACATTGTCTCGGAGCCATTTCCTCAGCTCAGAGTGAACCTAAGCAGAGAGTAAAATTACTTGAAAAATGAAGATTTAACTCTCTTCCTGAGCTTGATTTGATGCATTAACTAACTAACAGCAGATAACTCACTTCTTGAGCTTGAGCCGGGGTTGCCACTTTCCCTGTCCCAATTGCCCAGACAGGCTCATAAGCTAAAACCACATTCTCCCAGTGCTCAATCTTTTCTGCATCAGAGCACGAACGATATCATTAAAGCACAATAACTCGGATTTTCTCTGTGCTTTGATTTTCTTGGTTTTTTCGGATTAAATCTAATAACTTAAACAGAACAATCACCACGAGATTATGAAACTCAAACCGTGAAAGAATGAAAATACATCAAGTTCCAGGAGAAATCAGTACCGGCAATTGCTTTTGTTTGGCAAGCAACAACAGACATGGTTGAGCCAGATTCCCGCTGTTCAAGCGTCTCTCCAATGCAAGCTATCACTTTCAAGCCTTGAGAGAGGGCATGTTCAACTTTGTCAGCAACAAACTGCATTACAGATGGTATTTTAGGATTCATCCATGAGCATCAATGGTAAATTGGTCTCAAGATCAAGAAAATTAAATGGGCATATACTCACATCGTTTGATTCTGCGAGAAGAGACCTTCTTTCGGAGTGACCAAGGATAACCCAAGGAATGCTCAAATTCAATAACATCTCAGCACTGTAAAAAAATATAAAAACAAGATATCAAACTCTTATGAAATTATTTAGAAATACTCGATGTCAGAAAAGAAGCCATCTTTCTTTGATTATAAGTCAGAATATGAATAACCTGATTTCTCCTGTAAAGGCACCGCCTCTCCTAACCCAACAGTTCTGAGCAGCGACTTGGAAATCAGACCTTAGTAAGCCTTTCACGAGGGGAAGAAAAACAAAAGGGGGGCTGACAACAACCTCTGCAACAACAGAAGATAAATGTAAGCTCTCAGACAGAACATTCTATTAAAAAAACCAACAAGAGAAGATCAGTGATGAATATAACTTGAAAGAGTAATCTTAAAGGATGAGGTATCGAAAGCTTACCTACAATGTCCTCTGAAGGAACTTCAGCTTCATTCAAGGTAGTGACTATCTTCTTCACCTCCTCAGTTGTGCCATTCTGCAATTCCAGACGAAAGGTGAGATTTAAAGTTTAACGTCAGCAATATGCCGCTGAGTTCAGGAATCATCACTTCCCCATCGTAGCAATGGTGATTCCTTCCATTTATCAGAAAATACAATTTCCAGGAGATATTCCAAATTCAAGTACTCTTGCGATATACGAGAACCCTAATTTATCTGAATCTCAAATCTTTCGTCGGAGTAAACCTAGCGAAATCAACAAACCATGACTCAAAATCGAAATCAAGCTCAGCCGTGTCGCTATATGAGCTGGTTTTCAAAAACAAATGTTACTCGGAGAATTCACCGTCCCATCATCTAAACCCGATCCTTCGAAATACCACCCACTTCCATTTGGCTCCCACAATCTCCCATAAAGTATTCGTTAAATTGTTCATGGACACAGCCTAGGTCCTTTATCAATGAACTTAAGCTCCGATCAACACGCAGTTTCACGCGAATCCCAAAATCCCGTGAGAATTTGTCGGAGATCAGGAAGAAAAAGGAACAAAAACTCGATCATTCGAATGAAGACGAAAATCTCAAGCCAACGATGAGAGAAGTTAAAGGAGACTAACGCATTTCCAGTTGCCGCCGACGAAGAATTTGGGCGCCATGCCTGAACAACTCCTGCACACAGAAGCGGACGGAAGAATACGTGCCGGAGAAAAATGTGGAGCGACCGAGAGAGAGAAGTAAAAAGGAAAACCTTCCAAGAGATTCTATGGAATGCTAACTAATTGACCAATTTAGCCCTCACATTCTCTCTCATCATTTTTTCACTATAATTAAATTAAATTGGGTTAATCTCATATTCACCCACAAATTTTCGAAAAAGTTCCAATTTCCTACATCAATTTTTAATTTGACAAAAAACTACACCAGATTTCAAATATTTCCAAATTCCCACACAAAATCTTAAAATGTGTTGCAATTTCCCCCATATCCGTAAACGACGTTAAGTTCCGTCAATTTTAATGCTGACATGGCATGCCACGTCATATAGATTTCGCCAAATCATCGCATTTTACCACATCATCCTGCCACGTCAGAAAATAAATAAAAATAAAAAATTTCTAGAATTTTTTTAAAAACTAATAAAATAAAAAAAAAATACAGAATTTCAAATTTTATTTTTTAAAAATAAAATAAAAATTACATATTTCATATATACACACTTTTATATCTATACACAATTATATACATATACATATATACACATATATACATCTACATACATAATTATATATACATATATATATACACACTTACACACTTTTACATATATACACAATTTTTTTTAAAAACTTTTAAAAAAATACAGAATTTTAAAATTTATTTTTTAAAAATAAAATAAAAAATTACATATACATATATACACAAATAATATATATATATATATTCACATATGTATATATACATATTCATATATATACATATATATCCATATATATACATTGAATATGTATATATATGTGAATATGTATGTATATATGTATAAATATATATATACATATTCATATGCATATATATATATATACATTTATACATACATGCATACATACATATATGTATATTCAATGCATATATGGATATATATGTGTATATATATGAATATGTACATATAGATATATGAATATATATATATATATATTATTTATGTGTATATATGTATATGTATATAATTATGTATGTAGATGTATATATGTGTGTATATGTATATTTATATGTATATGTATATAATTGTGTATAGATATAAAAGTGTGTATATATGAAATATGTAATTTTTATTTTATTTTTAAAAAATAAATTTTAAAATTCTGTAATTTTTTAAAAGTTTTTTTCACTTTATTAGTTTTTTAAAAAAATTCTGGAAATTTTTTATTTTATTTTATTTTTTACTTATTTTCTGACATGATAGGATGATATGGCGAAATGCGATGATTTGGCGAAATCTGTACCACGTCAGCATTAAAATTGACAGAACTTAACGTCGTTTACGGATATGGGGGAAATTGCAACACATTTTAAGATTTTGTGTGGGAATTTGGAAATATTTGAAATACGGCGTAGTTTTTTGTCAAATTAAAAATTGGTGTAGAAAATTGGAACTTTTTCGAAAATTTGTGGGGGAATATGGGATTAACCCAATTAAATTTAAGATAAGTGTTCATCTTTAACCAATATATATTTTCATCCTTAACCAATACATTTTTTTATTTTATTTATTAAATAATTAAACAATAAACTTTCTTACAAACTCTATTGGAACTGACTTTTTCAATTCAGTTATACAAAATGCAACCCATTCGAATAATACACATAAGTACATAACTATAAACCGAAACCCAAATCGAAATCAGAAAATAACCAAACCTAATAATGGGAAAGCCAACGTAATGTGATCAATCATAGAACTAAGCGGGTTCTGTCGAAGCTACAAAAAAACGCAAACGCCGTAGAACATACACCGCAAAACGCAGTTTCTCAAAACGCCACACGTTCAAAATCGCAAGAAGCATCAAAATGTAACTAGACTATGAAGATTCAAACAAAGCCCATCTACAGATTCATCCCAAAACACTAGACAGACAGATTGGATCAAACAACTCTTGACGTTTTGCTACGTGTTGGAAACGAATTCAAACCTTCATTCGCCCGCCGCTTTGCGTCGTGATCATGGAGAACGCCGTTTTCCAGTCGCGGGTCAGCGGTTCGGGAACCTTTCCATCCCCCATGAAAGGCGTCCATCTTGCTTCGTCTCCCGGATCATTTGTCAAAACCCACGTTATCTCCTCGGGCGGAATAAGGAAATCAAAGTTAAACGGCGTTTCTTTGGCTTTTTTGGCGGTTCTGTTCTGCTTACCGCTTCCTTGGCCTTCTGAATGCTGCAAAATTCGAGGTGGACTTGAATTTGTTACGGTTGGACATCGAGAAAACACGGGCTGGGCAAATTCTGATCACGGCTTTTAAACTTGGTTGATCGGATATTCAGACAGGTAGGGAGATATGTTTCAGGACTCACATCTGGTTGTCCATCGACGTTGTCTGATTTCTTGGCGCTCTTTTTCAGGGTTCCATGTTCCAAGTAGTACAAGACCTCCGTCTTGGACCGGAATTTACGGCCTGTAACTGGTTCATAGTAGTACTGCAATATAAAGGGGAACAAGAACAATTTCATCATCTCTCAAATCAAGTGGCTGCTCACATCACGGAAAACCCTAAAAAAATCCACAGAATCCCCTGTACCAGGATTCAATAAACAAATCACTTGGACATGAAAGGGATTCATCCAAGAACCCTAAATCTTTCATTCCACCACATTTATGAAAGGGATTCATCCAAGAACCCTAAATCTTTCAATAAACCTAATCTTCGCATTTCGAGAACCAACGCGGGTTAGGTATTCAAAGCTAGTAGCAACACAGAGCCGAGATTTTACCCTATCCACGGAACCGGCCGTTGCGCCGGAGGTTCGAACCCTATCTTCCACCCTCCAATCCGGAGGCAACCAGTTGCTGTCCCCCGCCGCCGCGCGCTTCCGCGTCTTTGACTCCGCCGCCGGCTGAGCCGTGTTCTCCGCCCGATCCCTACCGTTCCACATCCCGGAGCGGACGCTCTCCGACGGCCCGGAAACTCCAACGCTCGGGATCGGCCTCCGCTTCGCTCCGCAGTCTAGGTCTCCGGCATCGGTGGTGGCGGCGGAGGCGATGAAGGATCCGGAGGATAGAAGGGGGTCGGGCGGGAAATCGCCGGTGCCATGATCGGACGGTGCAGATGCGGACATGAGAGGATTAACGACTGAGATTTAGCGAAGTCGCTGAACATTGTTAGCCTGAGCTCTTCTTATACGGGAACAGTAAAGTAATTAAACGTACCATGAACTGAAGGAAATGTCTCATGGTTCGAAACTCGTTAAATCCTGACCGTTGGATCTTTTCCGGTTCTTAGATTCTCGTGCGTGTTGGAACATTAGCTTTCATAAATGCAATTTTGCTATTTTTGTATCAATTTTTTTAGGCCAACTTTTTACTAATTTACTTGTAATAATATAATAATTGGAATATAAGGAGATAAATAAGCCACTCACTCACGTTGAGATGACTCAAAGCGGGATAATCCACGATCTCGAATCTGATCAAAACTGTCCAAAGACCGGGCCCACAACTTTTCCATCCACCCATCTCAAGCCCTTCATTTTTTTTGTTTCCTTATAAATATACCCCTAAACTCTGAAAATTGGAAAACGACCCCTCCAAAACAAACATGGGAGCTCGACTTCTTCTTCCTCCGCTTCTCTTTCTCCTCACTCTTCATCTCCACCACCGCCGTTGCTCCGCCGCATATCACGTCGGAGTCAACTACGGAACGGTGGCCGATAACCTCCCTCCGCCGCAGCAAGTCGCCGGCTTTCTCAAAACCAAAACGAACATCAACCACGTCAAGATCTTCGACGCCGACCCAAACATCCTCCGAGCATTCGCAGGCACCGGAATCTCCGTCACGGTCACCGTCGCAAACTCCGACATCCCTTCCCTCTGCAAACTCTCCGCCGCAGCCAGATGGCTCTCCGACCACGTCCTCCCCTTCCTCCCCTCCGTCTCCCTCCGTTACATCGCCGTTGGCAACGAAGTCCTCGCCACCTCGGACAAGAACCTCGTCGCCCATCTTCTCCCCGCCATGGAATCGCTGACGTCAGCCCTAGAATTCGCCAACGTCACCGGTGTCTCCGTCTCGACGCCGCACTCGCTCGGCATCCTCTCCGGCGCCTCCGAGCCACCGAGCTCCGGGAGGTTCCGTAGGGGTTACGACAGAGCTATTTTCGCGCCAATACTCGACTTCCACAACCGTACGAAGTCTCCGTTCATGGTGAACCCTTACCCGTACTTCGGGTTCCGACCCGAAACCCTAAACTACGCGTTGTTCGAGCCCAACGCCGGAGTTTTCGACCCGGTGACGAAGATGCACTACACGAACATGTTCGACGCTCAGATCGACGCGGTTTACTCCGCCATGAAACGGGTCGGGTACGGCGGCGTCGACATCGTCGTGGCGGAGACCGGTTGGCCATCCGCCGGGGAATCAGCGCAGAACGGCGTCGGCGTGGAGGAAGCGGCGGTGTACAACCGGAACTTGATAAAGCACGTGAACTCCGGCAAAGGCACGCCATTGATGCCCAACAGGACCTTCGAGACGTTCGTTTTCTCGCTCTTCAACGAGAATCTCAAGCCCTCGGTTTCCGAGCAGAACTTCGGTCTGTTCAAACCGGATTTCACCCCGGTTTACGACGTCGGCATCTTGAAGACCGACCAGGTACACACGCACGAGAGAATGTCTTCTCAATTCTCCGACCGCCGGAGACGACGATGGCATTTTCGTAAATAAAGTAACATCGTTTCACTAATCTGTCTTTCCTCTTAATCAACAACTTTTATACGCCTGACTAGTGACTACAAATGCTGAACCCTTTGACGTAGATCATCAGAAAACTTGTCCTTTTTTTTAATTATACGCGACTTTTAAATGATCTTCGCCGTTGATTTTTTTAATTAAATCAGGCGATGGGACCCATCTTTGACGTGGCGCAATCTCCATCATCGGATTCTGCAAAGGCGTGGTGCGTTCCGAGATCGGACGCTCGAGATGAGGAGTTGCAAAGGAACATAGATTACGTGTGTAACACAGGAGTGGATTGCGGGCCCATACAAGGAGGTGGGGCAATGCTTCAGCCCGGATTCGGTGCGGTCGCATGCATCGTACGCCATGAACGTCTATTATCAGACCTTTGGCAGGCATGACGTTGACTGCGACTTCAACCACACTGGCCTCATCACCACCGTTGATCCCAGTACGTAATTCTTTGTAATATACAATTTTAAAATGCTGGAAAGAATTGCTGATAATTTTTTTCACGTTTCTAAAAGTTACACTTTTCTAGTTTTTTTTATTAATGATCTTTAATGTTGCTTTTCAATGCATGACTTCTAATTTTCTTGACATAATATAATATATCTACAAAAATTCTATGTATACATATATTAGAATGGTGGAATGTATGTAATGACGGTGATGTAATGACTGAGACAGGTTACGAGGCTTGCAGTTACCCATATCAAAGGGACAACGAAGTTGAAGGAATCGACGGCTGAGATTTCGAGGGGAATGAGATGGACGGCTGTGATGTTCGTGGCATGCAGTTTGCGTTTCATCAAATTTTATGAATCATAATCAATAGTTTGACCATTCGTATGAAATTCGTGTTTAAAAAGATATTTATATGATGTGATAATTTCTATAATTCACATTCAATAGAGTTGGAGAACAATAATCTCTCGGTACAAAATAATCATTCAGAGAATTCCCCTGGAACAAAGGTTTCACCATGACTCGAGAATCCCGGACCGGTTCTTCAAAAAGGGTATGCAGGGTTAAACCAAAACCACTAACCAAAGGTTTACATCCCAAACCGGACTAAACCGGAAATCAATCTTGGGTTGCTTGGTTTTGGTTAAGCTCGGCGAACCTCATACCCACGCGCATGGTGTGCTTGAGGAACTTCTCGGCGCACCTCATCACGCAAGTCTCCTCTTGTTTCTGCAGCGTTTTGCGCGTGAAGTTGTCCACGCAGTCGGAGAAACACCTCTCCACCAATGAATTGTACATCCTCAGACTGATCACAAGTAGCAAAAAACCATGAATCTGTTAGAAAGAACCCACGGATTTTAGGGACAAAACACAGTTCTTGTTCGTTGCAGTGAAACGGGTTTCGTCCGAAATGAAGTTCCATAAGACTCAGCTCTTCTATATTGCCATATATCCAATCGAAAGACAACATCTTTCGGCAAGTCTCAAACCGATGTAATGCCAAAGCTAAACCCTAAAGTTCCTATTTCTAAAACCCGACAGTGAAAAGGTAATCTACGAAAATCGATCACTTGCTAAAAGGATGGAAAAACTTCGAGTGATCTATGAGATCAGCAGTTCTGGATGCATGACCCGACGGATTACCATAAGAAAAACGTCGTTGCAGTGAATGGGCTTCAGACGAAATGAAGTTCCATAAGACTCAGATCTTCTTCTACTGTTCTACATTGCAATATATCCAATCGAAAGACATCTTTTGGCTCGTCTAAAACAGATGTAATGCCAAAGCTAAACCCTGAAGTTCTCGTTTCTAAAACCCGACAGAGAAAAGTAATCTACGGAACCCGATCACTTGCTAAAAGGATTGAAAAACTTAAGAGTGATCTATGAGATCAGCAGTTCTGGATGCATGACCCGATGGATTACCACAAAAAAAAAACATCGTTGCAGTGAATGGGTTTCAGCTGAAATGAAGTTCCATAAGACTCAGATCTTCTACATTGCCATATATCCAATCGAAACACAACATCTTTTGGCTCGTCTCAAACCGATGTAATGCCAAAGCAAAACCCTGAAGTTCTCGTTTCTAAAACCCGAAAGAGAATGCAATCCACTGAACCCGATCATTCGCTAAAAGGATTGGAAAAACTCAAGGTGAAAAGGGCAAGAGGCACGTCGATTCCTCGAAGAAAAAAGCGTTCATCGAAAATCAAGATATCGAGATAAGTAAACTAGAGAGAGTGCATTCACTTGTCGTTCCCTTAACGTCCAGAAGCAGCATTAGTTGCAGCTGCATTGGTTTAAAGGAGATCTTTTCATTTCAGCTTCAACATCAATAAAGAGTCACTGGTGCAAAAAGCAATGTATGTGGCTCTCTATTCATGAAAAAACTATCTGTGAAGCTTATTACACACATCAAACATCAAAAACCGGATAACACCTGCTTTGTGAAAAATCTCAAAATTCTTCCAAAAAAATGAAAGCTTTCAACATGCCCGGATGAGGAAATACATGGTTGGATAGATCTGAATAAAGGGCATACAAATTTCATGCGAATTCGAGAGAGAGAGAGAGAACCTATCACGAAGTTGAAGCTGGTCGATCATAGAACCCATTCTCGCTTTGTCTTCCTCGGGAAGACCATCTAAGCCAGCCAACATGTTCGCATCCATTCTTCAAAACCCTTCTTCTTCTTAGATAATTGAGAACTGCTTGGTCTGTGGCGATTATGACAAAACCCTAGCCATGGAGAGCTCGCACTCTACGCCCAACACCATTTTCCTTAACATGCTCATTCATGGGCTTACAAACCCATTTCTCATTAAAGCCCATTGTGAAATAGGTTAGACCCATTGTTTTTATCTGACAAAATTAAAATTTTCAAGAAAAATCACATAAAAATATATTTTTTCAATGTTAAACTTTTTCGTATAAATTATTTTGAATCGCATTATTGACAGAATACTACGTAAAATGTCATGGGTAAAAATAGGCCAAACCATTACAAAATTTGTTATATATAGCATTTTTTTTAGAACCATTCAAAAGAATTAAATTTTCCAAATATTCTCTGGCTATAAAAATCAAACTCAATAATTTCGTCCGATATATTTCTCTATTTTTTTATTAATTACCAAAAATTTTAAAACATTAACTCAATCGCCTATCTCCTAATCACTTAAATTTAGAAAAAAATACTGGTTCAAATCTTTGCATCTAGACATATATCAAAAACAATACCATGCATATATATATATATATATATATATATATATATATGTTTATTTGTTTTTTCCTATTATAAGTTTGTAAAATCACTATAATCTTTATAAATTTTAATATAATAAAATAAGCCACATGGACTCCACCATCAAAAACAATACCATGTATATATATATATATATATATATATATATATATATGTTTATTTGTTTTTTCCTATTATAAGTTTGTAAAATCACTATAATCTTTATAAATTTTAATATAATAAAATAAGCCACATGGACTCCACCCATCTCTTTAATCTCTCCTCGTCAAAAACGAAAACATTAGTCACATTAGAATCTCTGTGACATCTGTCTCCTTTTTATTTAGTTAAAAGCATCTCTTTACGCGTCACTTCCACGCTCCATCACACGCGCGTGGTCGAACATTCGAAGAGCTTTTGACTCTTCACCAACTTCTCTCTCTCCCTGTTTCGCTGTGCTCTTCTTCACCTCACTCTCTGAACAACAAAAATAAAAGCTTAAAACCCCACAAAAATGGCGGATGCAATTCCAGTTTCCCGTTTAGCCCCCGCCGCATTGGCGTATTTAATCCTCCTTTCCACCGCTTCCACCGTCGCCGGAATCAACATCACCGCCGTCCTCTCCCCATTCCCCGACCTCTCCAACTTCGCCGGCCTCCTCTCCTCCTCCGGCGTGGCGGTGGAGCTCGTTGGACGGAGCTCCATCCCCCTCCTCGCCGTCCCCAACTCTCCCCTCTCCTCCTCTGCCGCCGTGAGCCTCACGCGCCGTCTCCCTCCGTCCTCCCTCGCCGACCTCCTCCGCTTCCACGTCCTCCTCCAGTTCCTCTCTGACCATGACCTCCGCCGCATCCCCCCATCCGGCTCCACCATCACCACCCTCTACGCCGCCTCCGGCCGCGCCTCCTCCGGCTCCACGGGCTCCGTCAACATGACCCGCGACCCGTCCACCGGTTCCATCACCGTCGGCTCACCGACCTCTTCAAACGTCACCGTTATGAAGCTCCTCTCTATCCTCTCCCCAAACATCGCCACCGTCCTGGCCGTCGACTCCCTTCTCGTCCCCTCCGGGATCGACCTCACCGCGTCGGAGAACCTCACCCCTCCGCCGGAAAATCCGCCGCCGCCGGTCAACATAACACAGGCCCTGATAAACGGGCACGAATTCAACGTCGCGGTCTCCATGCTCGTGGCCTCCGGCGTAGCCTCCGACTTCGAGAGCGACGAGCGCGGCGCCGGAATCACCGTCTTCGTGCCCACCGACGGCGCGTTCTCCGATCTTCCGGCGAAGATGAATCTCCAATCCCTCGCCGCCGATCAAAAAGCCGTCGTGTTGAAATTCCACGTGCTCCATTCGTATTACCCACTGGGATCGCTCGAATCCATCACCAACCCGGTTCAGCCCACGTTGGCGACGGAGGAAATGGGAGCTGGGTCGTACACGTTGAACATCTCCCGGGTTAACGGGTCGGGTATTTCGATCAATTCGGGTATGGTTATAGCCCATGTGACCCAGACGGTTTTCGATCAGAACCCGGTTTCTATATTCGGTATCTCTAATGTGCTTTTGCCCAAGGAATTGTTCGGCAAAGTTCCGGACTCCGGCGGTGCTTCTCCGCCTCCGGATATTTCACTCTCGCCGGAGAGTTCGGATGATCAGCCTTCCCGGCTGCCTTCGCCGCCGGGCGGTGTAAATTCCGGCGACGTCTGGGGGACACGAATTTCCTTGGTCTTGTGTTGTATAGTGTTGTGTTGTGCGTTGGTATGATGTTTCTTTTTTTTTTAATTTAATTCTGGAATTAGCGTTCGAATTTTGTAGATGTAGAAATATTATTGGACCGTTTTGGGCATGAAAATTGTTTGTTTTGCCAAAACTTCTTTTTTTGTTGGGTTTTTTCCATATTTGTTTTCTTTTTTTCCCTGTAATTTTACAAGATAAAGTTAATTAAGAATTGGAAATTTTATATTATACCTCTTTTTCTTTTTCTGTGCGAATTAGAGGGTCATTTCGGGTTTCGATTCCGTTATTTTAGTTATAGAAAAATTATAATCATTTAGTTTTTATAAATAAATTTCGGTTCGGTTTGATTTCGGTAAAAAATGATTTTTTCAAATAAATTGACGGTTTTTTCAATTATTTTTCTATTCAATTCGATTTTAATTTTTTTGGATTTAAAAAAATTTATAACCATTCGGTTTGGATTTCAGTTCAGTTTGAATACGGTTAGCTCTTATTCGATTCAATTATCCGATTAATAACCGAAATTGTCTATCGCTAATGTGAATTTCAATCGTCTCTCTCAAGTTTTAGGCCGAATCTAATAAAAGATCATTTTCTCTAATATTAATTATAATAATTCATAAAACGAGAAAATTATTTCTTAAGGAAAATGCTACACCCTTTGCACCATTTTCGGAAATGTTTAAAACTTTCTCATAAAAGGCAGATTTACACGAACTAAAACAGAAAGCTTCATCCATCCATAACAAGGAAAATGAACATCGACAGATGGACACCTACATTCGATTTAAATCTTAACACATTTTTTGTGGATAAAAATAATAAATAATTGGAAAAGGGTACAGATGGTGGGACCCGCATGAGATAGACGGTCAAGATCCGCCACCATCATTCTCAGGTCAGTTAATCTCTCGCTAGATTTCCGGGCAGTTCGGGACCGTTGGATATACCCAGCTTCTTCGCGCGTCCTAATGTACGGCCAGATCTAGGTGAAGGGAAATATTGATCTGGTGTGGTCACTCCTACGGATTCTGCGTACAGTTGTACTACTACTGCTTCTGGGCTTCATCACTCCGCAAGGCCCGTGGAATTCGATAATTATAATTACCCGTTAATTTAGATGCATAAAATTTATTATAATTTTCTTCATATATTAGTCTACATACGACAGCCTAAACATTTATGAAAATACCATTTGATGATATACATATATATATATATAATTAGGGGTGGGTAAAATATCCGAACCCGAAATAACCGAACCGAACCCGACCGATATATATCCGAACCGAACCGAACCGTTAAAAATAATATATCCGATTGGATATGAATATTTCAAACCCGAAATATCCGAACCCGAAATAACCGTAAACCGAATAAACCGAACCCGAATTAACCGTAACCGAATATATTCGTTTATCCATCCATATATCATCAATTAATATGTAATATATTCTAAATCTAATTAGAAAAATTAATATAATGATATTGTTTTATAACCATGGTATATAAAAAAAAACCAAATATGCATGTATTTTAATGTTGTTTTTGTTATTTTTATAAGATAATTGTTTGAATTTTTTTATCGTTTTTTTGTTTGGATAACCCGAACCGAACCCGATCCAAACCGATCCGAACCCGAACCGAACCGATTAAAAAAATATACCCGATTGGATATGAATATTTCAAATCCGAAATACCCAAACCCGAAATAACCGAACCCGCCCGATCGCCCACCCGTATATATAATAATTGGCTGTAACTAATTAAATCGTTTGAAACGATTAAAAGGGCGAAGTAGATTTGACGGTTCCGATCCGAGCGTTATTAAAACAAATTAAATTTTTTTTAAAGTAAGGTTCGGAAAAGTTTGACTTTTTTTTCGATGGGATCGAAGAATGATAAAACTTGGAATATTCAAATTTCAAACGGGAGGACTTATTGGATCTGAGATCTTGAGTACTGTACCTAAAGATTTTTCTATTTGATCGATTTATATATTCCATTATATTTGGATCGTAATCAAATATGTTTTTTTAATTCTCTGAATGATATCATCTCTAAAAAAAAATCAATAATTATGTAACCAAAGGTCCCACAAATGCAAATTAAAAACAATGAAAAACAGGGAGAGGATTAGGTGCAAGATACGACTAAGAAGACATTCATTTATAATATGAAGAACAAGTTTGAATTTTGAACCAATCCAACACACCTTGCGGAGGTTGGCCCATCTCTCTCTCTCTCTCTCTCTCTCTCGTTTTTCCGAAAAGAAGAAGAAGAGGTGAAATGTTGAGCAGGAGCCGTAGCAGCAATATCGCCATGGGAGCACCTTCGTTCCATGACCTGAAGAAACAGGCCTCTTTCTTCTTCAAGGAGAAGCTCAAAACGGCGCGTTTAGCCCTCACCCATGTCACTCCTCTTCAACTGTTAGTCTCTCTCTCTCTCTTCTCTCTCGATCGATCATGTATATGGATATGGGTTTTTCATGGGATATATATATGTGTGCGTGTGTAAACATGGAAGAATGACGGAGGAAGCGACGGATGGGAACACATGGACACCAAACACGCAGACACTGGGTTCCATTTCAAAGGCTGCTTTCGAGTTTGAACATTACTCGAGGATTGTTGATGTCTTGCACAACAGGTTCATGCCCTCATCCTTGTTTATTTTGTTTTTTGTGCATTTTCAATGGATCTCAAGAGGGAGAAAAAAAGGAACTTGATGTTTTGGCTTTTTCCTGCTCCATAGATTTGCAAAGTTTGAGAAGAGAAGCTGGAGAACGGCTTATAACTCACTGATAGTGCTTGAACATTTGCTCACTCATGGCCCCGAGAGCGTCTCCGAGGAGTTCCAATGCGATCGAGACGTTATCTCCCAGATGGAAACATTCCAACACATCGACGAAAAAGGGTTCGTATCCAATGGGAATTTGCATCTGATCCCAGTTTAGGAGAAGAGATTTGAAACATGTGAAAACAAATGTAGTTGCAGTTTATGTCTGAAGCATAAGCAGGCATTAGAGGCAAGTTATTGAATCGTCTGATTAGAGGGTAGGTGGGATTGCAATTGCAGGTTCAATTGGGGATTAGCAGTCAGAAAGAAATCAGAGAAGGTGCTGAAGCTGCTCGAGAAAGGAGGGGCTCTGCTCAAAGAAGAGAGAAAACGAGCTCGGGAACTGTCACGAGGGATTCAAGGATTCGGTAGCTTCAACCACAAGTCATCCTCTTCTTCTTCTTGGCCGGAGAAAGGAGTTCTTCAAGAATCTCCGGTCTATAGAAAGTACAATTCCCGCTTCGAAGAACAAAACAAGGTTGGAGACAACATAACAAACGTCACTCAAGAAGAAGAGATGGGCGAATCCACGCGTGTAAAGCCTCAAACCCAGGAGGAGAAACCAAAGGCAGGATCAAGTGAAGAATCAAGGAGCTTGAAAGAAAACGTTGCTCCCGAAGAGGAGACGGATCCACTTCTGGGTAGTAATACGAAAGAGGAGGGATGCTACTCCTACTCCGCAGGAGGAGGACAAGAAGAAGATGAAAGGCATCCATTCACGGAGGGCGAGAACAAGCAAACGGTCGCTTCACTGCTCGGAGATTAAACCAAAACGTATCTCAAAACTGATTACTGTGCGGAGATCGATGTAAAGGTTTCGAAGTGAACCTGATTACAGATTATGCTGTATTGCGTTTAGGAAAAGTAATGGTGTGCGTGCGTGTGTGTACTATTATTGTTATGTATTCCACAAAGGAGGAGAATATATATATATATATATGTATAAAAACAGGGAGAAGAAAAAAGTTGAAGAGTGGAGGTGTGAGGTACATTGGGAGAGCTCAGAAGCATTTCCTGTGCACAATCGACGGTCCAGATTCGTCGTACTCGGCTTTCGCAATCCACATCTGCAACGCCAATTTGTATTGACAAGGAAGGAGAAAAAGAAAGAGAGAAGAGAAGGGAAGGGAAGGGAAGGGGGTACCTGCTGGAAAGTGCTGAGAGAAGCCAGGATAGAGCCACCGATCCAGACACTGTACTTCCTCTCAGGAGGAGCCACCACCTTTATTTTCATGCTGCTTGGTGCCAACGCCGTTATCTCCTTGCTCATCCTGTCCCCTATCCCCGGGAACATCGTTGTCCCTCCGCTCAGCACTATGTTCCCGTACAAGTCCTTCCTTATATCCACATCGCACTTCATTATCGAATTATACGTCGTCTCGTGTATTCCCGCCGCTTCCATCCCTATCATCGACGGCTGGAACAGCACCTCCGGGCATCTGAATCGCTCCCCCCCTATCGTTATCACCTGCCCATCCGGCAGCTCGAAGCTCTTCTCCACCGACGAGCCCGTGTTTGCAGTCTCCAGCTCCTGCTCGTAGTCTAGAGCTATATATGCCAGCTTCTCCTTCATGTCTCTCACGATCTCTCGTTCTGCCGTGGTGGTGAAGGAATACCCACGCTCGGTCAGGATTTTCATGAGGTAGTCAGTCAGGTCACGTCCTGCGAGGTCCAGACGTAGGATTGCGTGGGGAAGAGCATATCCCTCGTAGATTGGAACCGTGTGGCTGACACCATCTCCAGAGTCCAACACAATACCTGACCAAGAATTTCCAAAGCATCAGTCATTAGGAAATTCTCTCTCAAATCATAGGAGAGTCTTGCACAAGAAGAAGGGTAAATAAATCTGCTGACCAGTTGTACGACCACTGGCGTAAAGGGAGAGAACAGCCTGGATGGCGACATACATAGCAGGGGTATTGAAAGTCTCGAACATGATCTGGGTCATCTTCTCACGGTTGGCCTTCGGGTTGAGAGGGGCTTCTGTGAGGAGAACCGGGTGCTCCTCGGGGGCAACACGAAGCTCATTGTAGAAGGTGTGATGCCATATCTTCTCCATGTCATCCCAGTTGTTGACAATACCATGCTCAATTGGGTACTTGAGAGTCAAAATACCACGCTTGGATTGAGCCTCATCCCCAACGTATGCATCCTTTTGGCCCATACCCACCATCACACCTGTGTGGCGTGGCCGGCCAACAATGCTGGGGAAAACAGCTCTTGGAGCATCATCACCTGCAAACCCAGCCTATACCAGAGACTCGACGACGTGAGTAGCACGGAGAATAGCAATACTGACAGAACTTGTGGCGCATATCTCCATATTCAGTGGATGTTTATACCATTGACAGAATATTACCTTAACCATTCCAGTTCCATTGTCACAGACAAGAGGCTGAATATCTTCACCATCTGCCATCTTCAATCTGTGGAAACAAACCAATTGTACACCCAACAAATCAACATCCTATAGATCTAGAGAAGTAAAAAAAATAGCAACAAACGAGCAAGTAGATCATGCCCATAAAACAAGATTAAACCATACAATCAGGAAAAGCTTTCCCCGAACATTTTCTAGAGGTAATCAAGCAAAACAAGATGAAATCGTAAAATTTTCCTGAATTCGTAACATCGTTGGATCCTCCTCACTTTTTTTTAGCTGATCAAACGTGTAAACAATCGGGTGCAAAAAATAAAACTCCAAATCCGCTCCGACATTCCTCGCACATTCCATCCTATCGAACCATTCTTACACGCGTAATAAATCCGAAAAAGTATATCCAGAAAATCCTTCACCACATATTCGAGCTCATTACTCCAAAAAAGGTCCACGAAATACTTCGATTTTCCTAACATTTTCCCGCTAACCAAAAAGACAGATGAATTCGTTAAGAAACCACAAAATAGAATTCACCTGGTGAATTTCCGAAGAGGAAAAAACGACGAACAAGAGGAGAACGAGAAAGAGCTGAAGAAGAAGAGGCTCTCGGATCCTGAAGCGCCCGCTCTTGAAGGGTTCAAATTCCTTGAGAAGCGAACCTTTAACCGAGGCAAATGGAACTTCCCTTTATATCCTGTGGCCGTAAGTAGATCCTGGCCGTTAGTTTTCTTCCGGACCCAAAATCTCAGCACCTCACGACACGTGTCCTCCTATTTTTGGTAGCAAGTACAGCAACCAGACATTAAATGACGGATTTAACCCTAGCTCACCGGTTATATCGGTGCATACAAATGGGCCTATTTAAGAACTCTTCCTGTTTATGGGCCTTCAATAGAAGCCCATTTTAATGCTGGCCTTAAACTAATTAAATATTTAGTTCTCGACAACAAAATTATATTAAAATAATCATTTTCCACACACACATATATATATATATATGTGTGTGTGTATATTAAGAACGTGGTGCATATTAGATTAATAATGATTTTAAAATTCCTAACTGGTCTTAAGACTGATACAAGGGAACATTGCTATGAAGCATGGGTTTGATTTTTAGTTTCAGTAGACACATTATTGGTATGAATAAAATGATTATTAATAAATTGTATAAGTAAGACTGGTTGAGTACACAAAAAAAAGTATAAAGAAAAAATATAACATAGAAAATAAATTAAAATATCTTTGGGAAATTGCTGAAAGTTGGGGGCAGAGAAAATGGAAGAATGATGGTGGGACGTTGGGGATGCAAAATAATTAAAGCATGAGCATGAGATGTAATTATTTGGAATGAGAGCCTCGCATATTTATAGTTTAATATTATTTTAAAAAAATACATTGCTTATATTATTTACTCACGCTTAATTTATCAATATATATATATATATATATATATATATATGCGCGCATGGTAATGCCTGCTATACGTATACATTATATTACGTAAAGCAAGCATTAGTATAAATTAAATTATGATTTAAATACGCATTATTTTCATACATTTTGATTGAGAGTGTGACATGTTATTTGGCTGTATTAAATTAGATTCATTAATTTCGTATGTTTATAAAACTCCTAAATGATATATAGTCCTTTTGGTACATTTTTTCCCCATAGTTTCGAGCATACATATTTCTTGAGCGTTTAAAATATTGCGAGGTTAAAACTAAATTAAATAAAACATTGGTGGACTGAAATGTAAATCTCGAAAGAAAGATACTTAGGATGCGGTGAAACCCAAGCAATCCATGTGGGTCCCACACAAATAATTTATTATTACCGTAATCATTGTTTTCGATAATCTAAAGGCAATTTTTTTTGGTTAAAGTAATCTAAAGACAATTTCATTTTTGAATAAGATTTTAATTTCCCTTTTCACATATGCGTTCCCGAGAGGGAAAAAAAAGTTTTTTTTTTTTGTCAAAAATAAAACTTTGTATGTATGTAATATACACGTGTGTATGCATATATGTACGTATACATGTATGTAAGTATATACGAGGTTAATAGCAATTATTTAATGTTTACTTCATAATTGTCTAAACCTAAAAAATACGAAAAACACGCAACGAATCTGCAACCTCCCCCGTTACAAAATGTCAACGAAGGAATCCTAGGAAACTTAGGTTGTTTGTCTTGCAATAACTGTGATCAAAATCGCACCCTTGTTAACATGATATGTATATAAAAGCAAGCACGATATTATTTTATACTTTCATTTATAAATATATTACAAATCCTATATTTATATCTCTTTCATGGGCTGCATGCAGCATTCTATATATATCTGTCGTTATAACACAGAGACACGCGGATATACATACACACACACACAAACACACGAAAAAGACATACTAATTGGCATCTTCGTTCTGTTCCTAGGATCAAGTCATTTGTTCTTGTATTTTCTCATCTAAATTCGAATTTTATTATTTCCTTTTTAGTCCTATCCAGTTTCCAACGATGCCAAACGCTGAGATTTTCTTGCCCAAGAAAGAGTTCGACTCCGAGGAATCGGAAAGTTTAGCAGTTTTTTCAACGCCTCAAGATCCAGATTCATCTCCACGTGATCAAAATCTATCAGGAGGTCCCTCAAAAAGATCCCAGAGCGGACAAGGACAAGAGCAAGATAAGGAACATGAAGAGTTGAGGGATCGAACGAGAAGAAAGAGAAAGCGGGAGGGCGAATGTGGGGTCTCTCCGTTGCAGATTCCGGTGACGTCCGTCGTGGAGACATCGCCGGCGGGAGAATATTCCGGCGAAGGGTACAAGACGTCGGAGGAGATGAATCCTTCGTCGCTGGTGGACGTGGAGGTGAGAAACCCTAGGCGTAGTCGCGATCCGCCGCCGGCGCCAAGAAAGCCTAAAGCAGCTCCGGCGATGAAACAGTTTCGGAGCTCTCTCGTTCTTCTTGATGTTTCTCGAGAAGTCGAATCTATGTTTCCTCTGTCTGTTCTTCAAGATTTCTGTGAAAAGATCAGAAAAGCTGGATCTTGAAGTTTCACATACATATATACACACACACACACATATGTATGTACGAACACATATTTGGTTGAATGTTGATGCATGCATAACGTCTTTCACCTATATATCTATATATGCGTGTGTGGTTACACCACATGAGTTTAATTTTGGCTTTAAGATTAATTTATTTCATGTCTGATATATTTGCATTGCAACATGTCTGTATATTAATGTTCACATCCTTATTGGTATAGTTATGAAACGTCTATATGTGATATTATTACATGCCGGATTCACACATATATATATATATATATATATATATATATATATATATAGTGATTACATTTAACAATAGTATAGCGTCCAAGACGTCAAAATAAGTTTTTGGAAGTAAACATTATTTTTCAAAATCTCTCTCTCTCTATATATATATTTATATATATATATATATGTGTGTGTATTCCTATTTCAAGATTACGGATTATGAGAAGAATGATATATATTTGATTAATCAAATCTCATTTAAGACGTTGACTTTATTTTCTGTTTATTGACTTTGGCCCCAACAAAAGCAAACATCCGCCCGCTTTGATCGCCACACTTTTCCATGAAGAATATTCTCTTTCGAGGAAATCGCTCTTTTTTTTATACTATAATGTTTTTATCCCGAAAAGTCATAATTATAACGTAATTTTACATCTACGTATCTGGATTTAATTATGGATATATTTGTACCTCGATATTAATTTAGGCTGAAATTTTGCTATAATAGTTGCTATTTTTGTTTAGATCCGATTTTATAATCTATACCAATGCCACTAACTTTAACATTTTCTATGTATGATTTAATTTTATATCTAATATATAGCGGAACTAGAAAATTAGTTAAGTGGGGGCTATTTTTATTATAAACAATTTTAATTTTGTGGGGATATTATACAGTTTTATTCAAATTTTTATATAATTTATGTGAAAAATAATATTTTTAATTGGTTGAGTGGGGGCATATGTCCTGTACACTTGTATGTAGATCTGCCCTTATATATATATATATGAAAAAAAGTTTTTCCGACAAAAGACAATATGACCAAATCGTCTAATATGTCAGTTCTCATTTTTGTTAAATTCTGTTAACTATGATATAAAATTTAAGGTTGTGTGGTAGTATGTTCGATTAATGCAATCATTCAATATTGATGTTGATTATAATTATATATTTTACAGAAACTATATATATATATTTCTTATTTATATTATAGTTTTACTGTAAAATCAAACACGATAATATAATTTAACATATTATTATATTTATGATTATTTTTGGCACACGTATCAAACGTTATTTAATTAAAAGAGCTTATGGAATATAAAAGCAAACATCGGAAGTGTTAAGCTATTATAGGCTCAGGCCCAATTAGAGGCTTAGATTAGCCCAAACAATCCGTGATAAACGGCACGTAGTTCAGTTCCTGAAGGCAGAGACACTGCACAGTGCGCACCGGTGTTCACATATTTGAGCTCCGTCTTCAAAACGGCAGGATGTTTACTTGCTTGACTAAAAAGCCGTTGAGATTGGCATACGCGGACCAATGATTCGTAGACGAATCTGCATCTCCACCGTTGATTGGATGGTCACTGCCTGCAAATCCAACGGCTATTATTGACCAATAGCCGAGCCATTGAACCTGCATTGATTTCCGACATGTGAGCTGCGTATATCATCTTTTAATTGGCCAACCCATAAACTGATCTGGCGGCTACCATGTCGCTATATAAAAATAAAATTAAATGGCGACAATCAAATATGTTAATAAAATATAACAATTAATCACATACGACGTAATGCAATGCAAAAAAGACCACATTTGAGAAAAGATTATAATTCTTGGCCCGACATTCAAATGTAACCTTTGTTTTTTATTTATCATTCAATAGTTAATAACATTGAAATAGAGGACGAAAATTAATTTTCTTCATATATCTTTCTGAATTTAATTTTAAAATTTGTGTATTGCTCGTGGGATTTTGGATTTTTTTCCCTGATAAGGATTGGATTTTGGATTTTTTCCACGTAGATTATAAGTTTGAATAAAAACAAACCGGAAAATTAGGGGAAATGTGTTATTAAGTCAATGGTTTTCGTATTACAAGTTAAATTTTTTTTAATTTCCAAGATTTCCGTTGCAACAATGATTTAAGCATTGACCCAAGTAACCGACTAAAGCCAGCTATTGTGTCACTAACCGGTTTTCGGTTATATAACAAAACCGGTTCTGGCCGATCGATCGAACCCACATCGTCATGGAGCCGAGCCGAGCTCACTAGCCGAGAGAGGACCGCAACTTGCGAAATTGCGAATGGCCACCGGTTTGGTTCACCTCACTTAGCCACGCCGGCGAAAAGTCTCCGCTTTCTCACTCTCTCTTTACAATCTCTCTCTCCCTCTCTCTCTCTCTCTCTCTGTGAAATGGTTTATGCTCTTTGATTCAGCTGAGTGAGAAGATTGTCTACGTTCGTTGAAAGCTGCAATTTGTACGTGTAGGATCGGATCCGAAGAACCGGACGCGAAACGATGGAGGAGGAGAAAACTCTGGCGGCTACGGCGCAGAGTTTGATCGATTTAGTGAACGAGATTTCGCTGGTTTCCGATTACAGGACGACGGTGAAGAAGCAGTGCAGCAATCTGGCGAGGAGGCTGAAGCTGCTTGTTCCTATGTTCGAGGAGATTAGAGATAGCAAGGAGCCGATTGATGAAGACGCGGTGAAGATTCTGGTCTCGCTGAAGGAGGCGATTTGCTCAGCCAAGGATTTTCTCAGATTCTGCAGCGAAGGAAGCAAGATTTACATGGTGCGATTGCTTTGTTCCTGTTTCCTTTCCTGCTCGAGAATGTCATTTGTTCGTGTGCGTTTTCGGGGTTTTTTATTTAATTGGGTTGGATCTGCTTGTAGAAAGTGTGAGAAATGTCGTAGTTTTTTTTTTTCCTGGTGACTATCGGAATTCGAACGAACTGGTTCTTTGTTGAAATTAGTTCATGCCTTTGCTGAGGTTGTCAGGTGATTTCCATAGATGGTCGATCTGTGTTTCAACTGCTGCTACCTGTCCCAGTCGTCTATTGTAGTTGACGTAATTTGGCTCAGACAGTGGCTCTAGGATTTGGAGTTTGTTTGGAATCTTTTTGGGTTTCGATCGATTCCATCTTTGGAATCTGGATGAACGATTGACAAGATCTTTGTTCTGCGTGTAGGTCATGGAGAGGGAGCAAGTGATGGGTAAATTACTGGAGGTGTCAGCTCAGTTGGAACAAGCTCTGAACTTGATTCCGTATGAGGATTTGGACATATCGGATGAAGTTAGGGAACAGGTAAAATTATATTACAGTAGCCCACAAGCTCCAGTGTCTGATCACAAAAGAAATCCAGATAGCTTCTCCCATAGAGCATTTGTACGACAGCTGATCTGCTGTTCTTGAACTCAATGGAATAGGAGATAAGATGGAATTGGACACTGAACTTATCTGTCTAAGTTGAGTATTGAGCAGTGATGTTGATAGAGAAACTAAACCGTAATGCCCATAAATAAGCTTTAGGATCTAATTTGATGATCATTGAACTATGGATTGAAAGAAAGCCGGAGTAAAGAATATGGATATTCTCTTGTGTTTTTGTAATGCAGGTTGAACTTGTAGTCAGTCAGTTCCGCAGAGCTAAAGAAAGAGTAGATGCATCAGATGACGAACTGATCGAAGATCTTCAATCCATCCGTGACAAAGGTAGCGACCCTTCTGCCGACCAGACTACCCTTCAGAGGGTCGCCCAGAAGTTACAACTCATGGAGATATCCGATTTAGCTCAAGAATCCGTGGCCCTCCATGAAGTGGTTGCTTCCAGCGGAGGAGACGCAGGTGAAAACATTGAGGAGATGGCAACGATACTTAAGCAGATCAAGGATTTTGTGCAGATGGAAAACGAATACAGCGAGGAGGATCAGAAAGGAGTCGAAGGGCTTAATTCAGGAAGCAGCGGACAAAAATCGACCACAGTGAATCATAAGATTCCTGTGATCCCTGACGATTTCCGCTGTCCGATCTCGCTGGAATTGATGAGAGATCCTGTCATTGTTTCTACAGGGCAGGTAAAAAGCTTTCCTGTATATATTTTCAGCTTATGCTAACCTTTTTCTATCATATAATCTTAGCCAAACTTGCTTTCCCTCTCTCTGTATAGACATATGAACGAACTTGCATTGAGAAATGGCTGGAAGCAGGGCATTCGACATGCCCGAAATCACAGCAGACACTGACGAGCACAACCCTCACTCCAAACTATGTCCTTCGCAGCCTCATAGCTCAATGGTGCGAGGCTAATGGCATGGAGCCACCAAAACCTCCGAGCTCTTCTCGACCCAGAAAAATATCATCCTTCTCCTCTCCAGCCGAAGCCAGCAAGATCGAAGATCTTATGTGGAGGCTCGCTTATGGAAACCCTGAGGACCAGCGGTCCGCTGCCGGGGAAATCCGACTCCTGGCAAAACGCAATGCTGATAACCGTGTGGCCATAGCTGAAGCCGGGGCAATACCACTTCTCGTGAATCTCCTCTCGACACCCGATTCCCGTATCCAAGAACATGCGGTGACAGCTCTTCTCAACCTTTCGATATGCGAGAACAACAAAGGAGCTATTGTTTCTGCCGGGGCAATTCCCGGTATCGTTCAGGTCCTCAAGAAGGGAAGCATGGAGGCTAGAGAGAATGCTGCGGCCACGCTTTTCAGTTTATCGGTGATAGACGAGAACAAGGTGACGATCGGTGGCTCGGGTGCGATCCCTCCGCTCGTGGTTCTTCTCAACGCGGGCACACACCGAGGGAAGAAAGACGCAGCTACCGCACTGTTCAATCTCTGCATATACCAAGGAAACAAAGGTAAGGCGATACGGGCAGGAGTGATTCCAACATTGATGAGGCTATTGACCGAGCCCGGAAGCGGAATGGTGGACGAGGCACTCGCCATTTTGGCAATTCTCTCAAGCCATCCGGAAGGGAAATCGATCATAGGATCATCGGAAGCAGTTCCGTTCTTGGTTGAGTTCATCAGGACAGGGTCACCCAGGAACAGAGAGAATGCGGCCGCAGTTCTCGTCCATCTCTGTTCAGGAGATCAGCAACATCTGGTCGAGGCTCAGAAGCTCGGTCTAATGGCTCCATTGATCGATTTAGCTCAGAATGGAACGGATCGAGGCAAGAGGAAAGCAGCTCAGTTGCTCGAACGTATCAGCCGCCTTACCGAACAGCGAAAGGAGACTACGACTCAGCCAGAGATTGAGGCCGAGCCCACACAGCCGCCGCCACCACCGCCGACCTCGGATGCTGCTGATAACTAAGGTACTCGGTTCTTCCACGAGGCAGAGGTAGAAGATCACCTCATTCAGGTCTGTTAACATTATACACACACGTGTGGAACTGTATCATTGTAACACTTAAATTATTGTAATCATCCTCTCTGAGTTTTTTTCCTATGGAAGAGATGTTGTTCCACTTAAACAAAACATTATGAATGATATTACATTGTACTGGTATTTCACATAAAACTTGTTTATTTCAGGACAAGAAATGATCTTTCTGTTCAGTAAATGGTATGCCTTAAACTTTCTGTCACCAGACCATACATGACCGAACCAGCAAGTATGCAAACACAGGGTTTAAGAACATCGAAAGGATTTGCCCGAACAATATAATCTGTAGACTAAATGTAAACTCGGGTGACTGTAGAGATGGGGACGAGATCCACAAATCTACTTTCTTCCACGGGTGAGCCTCTGCAAGTGGTAATTGATATTTCCCCAGGAGTTCGATTTCTGGTTTGTCTGCAAAGCAAAAGAATTACCCGGCAGATTTCAGCCGAAAGTTTCATCCTTTTGCAATGAGGAAAAAGGCGAAAACCCAAAAGTGCAGAGGAGAAGATATTCAAAGAAATGTAAGATAAGGACCTGGGCATTCATACAAGCGTTAAGCAGTTCCTTCGACCTCTCGCATTTATCGTCCTTGATGTTGTTAAGGGCCAAACAGTTGAGAAATGACACCATTTCCTTCATGCACGGTTTCGATATGGACCCAAACTTCTTCGGGTTTATGTACATATTACCACCTTTTCTCCCCATTGTTCCTCAAATGTGAAACCCAAACCGAACGTGTCTGAATCAGATCGAGAAACCAAGAGTAAAAGATATTCAATTAACAATTAAGCTTATTCAACTCGATCTAATCACTAGACATTGTGATCAATTAAACCCTTATGTCAGTTCCAATTCTTGCCACAATGCTCGTTTAGTCTGGTCTATACCAGAAACTCTACAAAAAAAAAAGTATCCAAAAGCTACAAGAAATCACGAACCCTATCGACAAAAAGACCACATGGATTAGAACAATCAATGATCAGTTCATACTGATGCTCAAACGGCATACCCACGATTAAAGTTTCAAAATTTACCTGAATTTTGTAAAACCCTAATCCATGGAGACTTCAGTCTAGACCTAGTTCCATCACTACCTACATGTTCAAGACAAAGGCATGTAGCCGAGATGGCAGATTTTTCATCAGAAATCGATCCATGAAGGAAAAACCAGAAGAACCGATTTGCATCTGATGGAATCCAGATTCGAATCGAATCGAAGAAACAAGACTGTAATCCTACAAGTGCAAGCTCAAAATCCTGGCATTGGCTAATTGCACTACAAACGAAACAGCTAAGAAACAGGATTTTTGGTGAGAATTATACCCATTGATCATACGAATATGGAACTCGATAAAGTATATGCATCGAAACTGTACCTGATACACGACGTTCAAGCAGATCGCCGATTATGGAGGCAGAAGAGACCAATTAGGGTTTCATCCTCCACAGCTTTAGTCTAATTACAGTGACCTCGGTTTTCAATCGGGCCGGGTTTCGGTTTCGGATTTTTGGAAAACCGGGTAATAAGCCCGTTCAGTTTCCTAAATGGGCCTACAAGTTGGGCCTCTTCGGCCTGCACTATCATTTTTGGAATTTTATTGTTTTTTTATTGTAATTATTATTTTTTTGTTATTGTGCACATCAATGTTTTCAATGTTTTTTTTTCCTGTATGGAAATACTGTTTTTATGTTTTTATTTTCGCTTTAATGGATTTAACAGTATGTATATGCTATATATGATTTTACAGTGATTTACAACAATTGAAAATTTCTGTTACCGCATTTTTCTTCGGCACATTTTGTATAACCATTGTAAATATTTAATTTTTAAGATAAACATTTCACTGTCTTTCATACGATTCGAAAATTTATAAAATAACACATAAACAATATATAATATAGGCTAATATTAATTAAAAATCTAAATTACGTTATTATCTTTATATTAATAACCTTTCCAAGAAGAACAATTCACGTTAATTATAGGCAAAATAGATACACAAATTCTTTCAATCAATTACTTGTTCAAATTTCAAAGTTTCAATATTAATCATACTCTCCATAAGCTTTCTTACTTATATTATTCAAATAAATATATGTTTCGGTAGAAGAAGATCGTTATGCATGTAATGTGCATGATGACATATATACATACATACATGCATCATGCATGCATACATACAAGCGTTCAGGTATTTAAATTTTCTTGGTACGTATCGATAACGACGATGAGACAAACTGACGGACCAGTTCATCACATAAAAACTATGGGCCCCACTAACAATATTTAAACTATATTTTTGTTTCAAATACTTTGGGACGTTAGCCTTTCAATATATATATATTATTTAATTCCAATTTATAAACAGCGTGATATATAAGATATTATGTCGGGGGGGTCATTTCGGTTATTAACCGAATAACCGAACCAAAC